TTACAAACCTGCTAACTGCGCCAACTTTTCCATTTATGCAGGCAGTGAATAGGTGTTTATACCACTTGAACGTTTTTGCTGAAAAATAAATGACAGATTTGATTTGTGTTTTACTGCTTGATCTGTTATAGGAGCTAGATCTTTTAGTTGACTCTGATACCAGCACAGTCTTCTTCATAGGGGTTAGAAACTTTTTATTTTCCTTAGCAGGGCGGTGGAAATATTTATCTATGCACTGTAAATAGATTATGGATTCATTTTGTCTAGTTAATGTATCAAAAAGTTAGTTTCAAATAATGATATTGGAGTAAATTAGACAATTGCATGATATTGGAGTAAATTAGACAATTGCTTATACGATAATTGATTTATTCCTTTTAGACTCCCGTAAAATTGTTTTGTACAAATATTAATTTTTTTCCTTTGATAGACGTTTTGCATCCTGAAGTGGATATATGTGCTGAAACACAGCCTAATTATGCTAGCGTCTCTGTATCTCTCTCTCTCTCTCTTGCTGTCTGTCTGCCTGCGTTTTAGCAGGACTCACTTTTTTGATAGGCTACAGAGGATCATAAAACTCCTGCTTAATTTCTTTCTTTATTCTTAAAACTCCTACTTACTACAACTAATGCTATTTAAACATTTAAATCTATAGCTTAAGGGTGTAAGTTAGACCGTGTAGAAATGAAGTGGTAACTGTCGTAAGAGTCAGATTGGGTTGTAGGTACTCTTTTACTAAATGAACAACTGCTTGCAGCTGGATCTTTTCCTTATGAAATTATGTGCTCTCTGTCCATCTTCTGTGTATGGCGCAATTGGCATGTACATCTGCGTTTATCTCTATAAACAGTGATTAAAACTTGATCATCTGGCACTAGAGTAGCATCTTGCTCGCACCAAGACTTGATCTGGTATCAGCCTTATGGTCTATGTTCCTATTTCCTAAGGACGCTTCATTTCCAAGACTTGCAAGAGTTATTCTAAGTTTTAAGCAGGCCCTCTTCGTTCTCTGTTGTTGCTGGAATTCTAGTTCCTTGGACTGTGAATAGTTTTATTGCATGTGACGTTACGTTAGTTACCTAGCTTCACCCTGGAATCAGCTTCTTGAAGTTATTTGATGTTTATTTATCTCTACTAGGGTGAATGTGTCATGGAAGTCCTAAGTAACTACAATATTTCACAAAGGCAAGTACGTGTACAATGGTGGAAGCTCGGGAGGTGGTTTTATGGCTTTCGTTTGCGCGATGAATTACACACACGTACTGTCTATTTAGAAGATGTTGCGATAGGGAAGGAGGAAGAAGTTCTCGGGGTACTTCACCGAGGTGCAGTACATGAGGTGATACGTGTTCAGATCTCAGCTGCTAAACCTGCATACACATCCTGGTCATTCCAAAGTGCACAAGACCCCAACTAGTAAAAGGTTATTGTATATCATGTATATATCGGTTGTAAGTAATTCACCTATACTTCTGCATAAGATAAAAATGAATAATTGTAAACTCTGATGAAGTTTACTTATAATGTATCCTTTTATATTTATGTTCTTGTAAATAACAAAATCTCACGGGGAAAGAAGCCTGTGTTAATTGTAAATTTGATGATTGTCGTGTGTGGAAAGCTGCAATGCCACATTGTTTGTATTCTTTTACTCGAGAAGTAATTAGTCTTGTGTTTGTCTCTTTACTTGATTTGATTCTTTTCATATTTCATATTTGAACTCAATGAATATACGAGAGGTTTTAGGAAGGCAATGCCAAATCATGAGCCTATGCATTGAGCTCATACGGAAGTTGCAGGATGTCTTGGGATCTTTTTGTTCATATACTCTATTTCAATCTTATTTATTCGAATTGTCTGAGCTATATTATATATCAGTTTTATTTGTGTAATCTTTGCAATTTCTATACAATTTCTATAGGAAGTCTCCTACCAGACGTTGCCTTTCACTATAGGCTCCCTTTTCCCGGCTGAACTCTGTCATGGGGTGGAGGGTGGATGTGGGGGGCTGTGATACGTGAAATGAAGCGCTGGGGTAGGGTGAGGGGTGGGGGTTTTGGGATAGGGGAATTAGTACGTGTGTAGCAGTTTTCCTATAAAATGCCTAACATCAAGGAATCCTTAATTATCACTATAAATTGTATATAAACTAGTAATTGTATATAAAATGCCTAAATAGTGAAGTTAAATAAGTTTTTAAATAAGTACGGATGCCCATTATTGCATCAATAAGCCGGCATTAATGTTTTACGTGTTAATCCCAAAATTGGGTTACACGTACAGAGGATGTTCAGTTATGTTGATATCCTACCTACCAACTGTTTGTGTGAAAGTTTGCAAAAGAGGTTTATAGTTGACTTGAATCATTCTATCTTTTGCCGTAAGATTTTGGATTGAATGTTCAAATTCTCTGATATATAGTGAAGTGAGAAAGTGCCTTAAATTACCATTTGCTGAGTTCATCAGGTCTTGAAAATCTGCTTTAATACTTTATAGATTGTTAATCGACTTATCAAAGGGATGGTTTCAACAAGGAAACTTTTCACGACATAACAAAATTATATAGTTCTAGGGTGCATCAAGGTTCAGTCTTCGGGGTTGTGTAATTAATAGTACTTGATATTACTAACCGTGCTAACCTTGATATGGAAGTTATTCTTGAGCGCAATGCTTATAACTTCCTTCCAAACCTTGCGGCTACTGAAGTTCCATTTACAAATGGATAAGATTCCAGTCTAGTATATAAGAGGTCTAGAAAAGAAAGAAACAATAATCACTTTCTTGTTCTATCAAGAGGGTGTTATATATTTCGTCCATTTTTTAAAGGATGGATGGAATGAAATATTAGAGAATGAGTCTTGTTCCAAGCAAGAAAAGGAACATAACGGTGCATTACACAAGTACCATGAGGATCTAGGCATTTCTCCTTTACATTAACAACAAAAAAACTCGGAGGAATTTCACAAGTAGGGTTTGAGGAGGATAGTGTGTATGCAGATCTTACCTCTATTCTGGGAAGATAGAGAGGTTGTTTTTGACAAACCCTCAACTCAAGAGGGATGAAAGAAATAATAGAATAGGCATTTCTCATTTGCTTTCGGGTCAATTGGTTTTGTGGCCCATTACAAACTTGTATTTAGTTTTATGATCCCACATGAGACATTTGTTTTTACACATAATAGATCTTTCTTTTACACGTAAGAGATCTAAAAAAGATATTTTCTTAAATTCAACATGTAAAAGGCCATGATGGCCTAAAACCTCTTTGCTTTCATGATTCTACAAGTAAATTTGAAGTCAACTCTAAAACTAAAATTCAAAGTAGATATTGATTCATAAGATATGGAGATTCATGATTGACAAAGATTAAGAAAGCAATTGAAACAGACACTACACAATCAAGAAAAAATGATCCAACGTCGCAATTTATCTTTACTATAAACATGCTCCTTATTTCATCAATTCAACATCTTTGCCTTTTTGAATAGACTTTTATTCAAATCAATAATTCAGAGTAACTGATATGAAAGGAAAGTTAAACAGAGATCTTTCTACAAGTTGAAACTTCAGAATTATTTTGCTTTTACAAATACAATGAGTGATAACAACAAGATGGATTAAAAAAAAAAAAAAAAAAAAAAAAAACTAACATCGATAAACCAAGACACCTCTCAGTTTTGGTGGAGAGTGGCAGATGACCATCAACACAAGAGCTAAGACCATCACTAGTATTATCTTCAAGTTGTCATCACCACCATCATCTGATTCTGAGCAGGAGCAACAAGATTTCCCCATTTAGCGCTAATTGAATTAGAGGGAAGACAACAATGGCCTCCAACTTCTAATGGTAAATTGACTTTGGTGGTAGACTTTGATAATTATATTCGTTTGCTTAAACGTGGAAGATTCCACTCTCTTAGGGGGGTGGGAGTGGGTTGGTTTCATAATTTAAATTTGATTGAAAATAACGGTTAGTAAAAAATATCATTTTTTAAAATATATGTTAAATTGTATCTGTACCTTAAATATCCTACCAAAACATAGGGAAAATTCTTCTATATTTTTCATTTATTTATCTTCTTCCGACTTCTGAATTTGGTGGGGCATTTAGATGTTATTTGGTTCAAAACATGGATATTCCAAGATTATAATTCTAGGATTATAACCTGGACAACTTCTTATCTAAAAAAGACATTGCATAGTCGCTCTCAAGATACAACCAAAAAATGTATATTTTTGTATATATATACATTTATGTATGTTATAAACAAAAATATACAAATTTTTTATATAATTTTATGTCTACCGGATGTAAATAATTTCGGCCGCAAGCTAAAAGCGATCTTGCCCTAACTTATTCCACCTTCTATATGGGATAAGTTATATCAAGATTCTAGTATAAAAATAATACCGATAGCTAATACATCTAACTAAATATGGAACAAAATTCAACTAAAATTTTTATGGCTATAACCCACCTAATCCCTTAAACCAAACGGCTTAAGGTATTCATTGTTGGAAACTTGGAATGACGGATTTAAGACGAGAGTAGGCCAAGGGAGAAGAGAAGTGCAAAGATCATTGAATTTTCAATCTTCTTTTTCCACAACTCAATCAACTAATAGCGGATCAACTATATCAACTCCCAATTTTGTATCAACAATATGAATTCTCATTGTTTATGTTGCTTGATTTAAACCCAATCCAAATAATTGTATCTTAAAAAAAATTAGGAGTTATCAACAGTAGTCATTCAGCAACTGCATTAACCGATTTAGTTTCTGATATTAACTGTTTTGAAATTTTATTTAGCGTCTTAAAAACTTTATGAGTATACAATTTTGATTCTGGCCTGAATGACATTTCCAAGCTACAAACTTTTTAACGTTTGCAAATTTTGGGTTAATGTACCTAAATCAGGCGGGGGTGACAGTAAGTGGGCATTCATTCAAGAAAGAACTGAGTCATGAGGATCTAAAACATTATTTGATCCAATATGCTTGCACAAGGTTGAAACGAAAGCTCCATAAGGACTAAGGTCAAGTCACAATCTACAAAGAAACAGAGAAAGAAACCGCAGAGCATGATCTAAAAAGAAATTACCATTGTGCTGAATCCAAGGAGGGGAAGTCGTTCGCTGGAATATTACATTTACTCAAACTCAAGATGCATAGAAAACACAGAATAGAGCAAGCAAAAGGGCCATAAAAGATTGGAAGAAGCTAGGCAATCTCATCTCAAGTATCTGAGGTGATCTTTACCTCTTGCTGCGATCTTAGCCATATTGTACAAAAAGTTTCAAGCTCCTGATGCAACGCAATCAAATGTCCAGGGAGGCAGGATTTACAGAAGTTCGACTTCAACTTGGACGGGATGTTTCTCCTCCCATGTCGACTGCAGAAGTGCATACAAACATCACTCATTTCACTATGATCTGTGCAAATCATGCCAAGTATTTGAACAAGTTCGGGTTATCTTTGTCTCTCTCTAGGTAATCTCTAGTTATCAAATCTTCAATTCTCTTCTTGATAGCTTTGACGTCAGGCTGTGGAGTTTTTGAAACAAAGAAATTAGCTCAGCTAAACTTGAATAACAAACACTATAATTGAGTAGGAAAAGAACTCATCATGTGGATACCTTGAACATGCGTCCCAACTGCTCAACACACTCCATGACTAGTTGCTGGTAGCCCAATACTTTACGACTCTTCATAATACGCACAATTGAAGCATCTATAGCATACCGCCTATCCTTGTCAACATCTTCAATTACCTTTTTCTTCTCATCCACAGGCGGGAGAGGTATCTGCATTATCATTACACCAAAACCCTCACAGTTCAGTAACGTAGCGCAACAACTCAGAATAGAAAGGTTAACTTAACTCGTCACTAATTATACCTTGATCCTCCTCATTTTGTCAGCGAACCTTGAGTTGAACTCAAAGACATCAGTTGGAGAAATCGTTTTGGTGCTTGGCTCCTTGAATAGAATCTTATATTTCGCACATGAAAGAGAATGAAGAAGCCGAACAACATCATCATCTGATAGGTTTAGTTGCGTCATGATTTCCTGATAACTCAATCTATCTGATGCATTAAATAGCAACAGAGCAGAAGCCTATGAAGACGGAGGACTAAGTTTCAATCTTATTTTCTCATTGATAATCTCATAATTAAAAGGCTTCATTAGTTAAGCCAATCTGGTCAACTAACCTGATAAGTAGTGACAACGAGCTCAATAGTCTTTGGCTCAAATTTTCCATTTATGTTGCAAGTGCCCAAAGAGTATATCCACGTCAGTTTCCTGTGCTTCGTTTTTGTTTGATAGAACTCCTTGAATACTTCAACGCACCTAACCTGATAATACATCAGCAGAAAATGTATCAGTGACATGTTGTTCAAGAAAACCAAGACAAATCAACTGCACAATGCCAATTAACAGATTGATATGATATACCATCTCTGCTGGGAGGTTGAGATCAAAAGACTTGTAGCTGGGCCAGAAGCCAGTAGTCAAGACAGTCACCGTCAAGTCAATTCCAGGATTGGCTGCTGGATTGTTGCTCAAATACTCCTCAAAGCTAGCTTGATTTTCTCTTGCCAATGTCAAATCAGTGACCTGTAGGAAGAGAAGAAGAACGTCACAAGAGAACAAAGCCTCAAATACAGCATAATAATCTGGATGGCGTACCATTCCTTCCATCTTTGATGTGAACTGGCCCCCACACTGCTGCTTCAACTTTGTCAGGATACTTCTCTCATGTTCATCATTGGCACTCTTATCAAATAACAACCGCCGGGCTAGCTTTTTCCTGGGAGACAAAAATCGGAAATCACCAAGTTGCAACAGAGAAGCTATCACTAAGTTGCAACAGAGAAGCTACTATCCTAGTAGTGGCTGAGAAGCACAGTAGTGGGGAACTCTACCTATAGAATTCTGCAAACAAGTCCTTATCACTAATATATGCTAGCAGCTTTACAACCTGCAAGTGAAATTTATTATCAGCTTTCTCCTGCTGCAGAGGCACGAAGAAAAAGCAGACGTTCTTGAGGGAAAGAAGGGGAAAGGGAGCTATGGAGCAAGAGCTCACCTTCTCCAGCGTCTCTTCAATGGCTTCATCACTCAATTTCTCACTCCCACCTTTTTTGAGAATGTTGTCGCAGAATGTGGCAAGAAGTTCAGCACTTGAGCTACCAGCAACACCCTTGTTGCAGAAGACTTCAAAAGCTTCTTTAAGTGCCTACAAAAGTAGAAAGTGATAAGGGGGGCAGATATTAGCAATCCTAATGCACGGAGTAGAAAAATTAAATTAGACAAAATGCCATGCTCCAATACATACCTTGTGAAAAAGTGTGTGGTTTTGGAAACAGTTATTCACATATGCCAAATATTTATCATGAAGCTCAATCACTTTCCGAACAAAAACCTGAAACTTCAGAAGTTCACCACCAAACACATATTCAAGGATCAGATAACAGATTTACTAAGGGATTACCTGTTCCTGCAAACCAACCACATCTCTCTTCTCTGCCTGTTGAAAAACAGTGGGTGATCAGATAGAATGCAAGACATTGAGCCATTTCTGTTAAAGGCATTCACAAAGGATCACCAGTCTCATCTTTTATAGAATGATCCACAAAAGATATCAAAACAACCAACTGACCATAACTATGACATTGTTCTAACCAGAAGAAGGGGGGAAAAGTTTAAATACATTTAAAAACGATCCATGACAAAAATCATTTGTTGGTTCCATAGAGGCAAGTGGCAATTGCTCGTGCTCGTTCTTTCAGGATAAGTATAAAAGTTGACACGGGTTTCTGTTTTAAAGAAACTTTTACTACCTCTTCGCAGTAACATTCCTAACCACCAAATTATCGATGGTCAAGTAGTGGAGGACAAATAAAGTAAACGAAACAACACAATCACAGAGATGAAACCAAACTTTGTGACTTCAAGCTTTTGATACCCAAAAAAAAAAGATGTTAACTAGAAATCTCTGAACAAAAATAATAAAAAGGCACAAACAGGAAAATTAAAATAAAAAGAATAGCAAGATGCTCTAATGTAGATATGGTGTTAACTAGAAATCTCTGGACAAAAAATCATCAAAAGGCACAAACAGGAAAAAATAAGAAGAATAGCAAGATGCTCTAATGTGCAATAAATTGCTAGTCTTACAAACAATGTAGGATGTGGTACACAATACAATATAGAACTCATCTCCCTTCTTAATGGATTACTGTTATGATTGTCTAGGTCACAGATATTGTCACTTTTTTCACTTGGTTTTCAATCACTTTGTACTTGATGCACTGTGCAGCAGCATGAGGGTTATTGAATTATGAAATTATAGATAGATATGTTAAATTATCTCTCCCCAGCCCCCTTTTTCTCAGTTCATAATAGATACATGTGTTAACTTATGAAATTAAGCTGATCAGACACTTGAATACAAGAACTTGGCATATTAAAATAGCAGAAAATTCTGGTTTGACTTGCTCCAAGTAAGTCAAACTGTTGAAACACTCAAATAAGGAAAGATACTGCTCAAGACCAAAGAATTTGAGAAAAGGCTAAATCTACAAACCTTTTTGTTGCTAGCAGCATCTTCAGCCTGTTTTACCAAAGCTGTACCTTCAGCGGTAACATGCTGCATTGAGAAAACTAAGATATATGAAGTAACTAACAATTATACAATTCAGGAAATGTGAGATAATTAGATCACAAACCTGCTTAAATATACTAGCCACAGGGTCTAAGCCTCGAGGAATCTTAGAAAAGAGCCTATACATCCTTGATAAATCTTCGACCTATCAAAATCATGATTTCATCAATGACCGCAAATTTTTCAAAAACCAGGACATTAAGACGCTGCAAAGTACCTTATCATCTCTTAGTAATGCATGGCATCCAGAGTGCTCCTTCTCAAGAAGTTGAGTGGCATACACAGACAACAACTCATGTTGTACTTTCTGTAGAAAGCTAAGAGTAGTAAAGTTGCAACTAATAGAATGCTGATACGCCAGATCCAAAAAGATGGGAACAACAAAAACTATATTTGTCTATAACGGATGCAGTTAGAAACATCCTCCATCTTTATGGCTCGAGTCCCAGTAAAGCAAAAAGATTAAGAGCTAGAATGGACCTCTAGCAACTTTGTCTCACTACTTGAATGGAGATAATGAGAGACCCTATCCTTCTCCCGTTTCAGGCACTCCTCGGCCTAAAGGAACATTGACAAGTACGTAGGTTAACATATGACGTTAACCAGAAAAAGGATAGATAGAAGTAGCAACGGAGAGAGAGAGTGATAGAATTAAGGGGTCGCATACGCGGTATACTAACTTTCAGCATATAATCTGGACATGAATCTTCAAGGATCCAGTTAGAAGCTTTGCGAGAATAATAAGCCGCCGTGTCCTTGAGCATTGCAGCTTCAAAATCGTTCTCATAATAATCCATTTGGCCCATTCCAATTTCAACAAATATGTCTAGCACATTCTTCAGTAGAGCTCTATCAATTTGCTCTCCCTCACGCTCTTGATCAATCTGATTAGATGATTGGTATTACTCAATCAAAAGGAAAAAAAAAAGGTAATGAAAACTCAAAGGAAGCCAAAGAGATACCAGAGATATGACAGCATCCCTGACTTTGCCATTCAACTCTTGGTAGACCTGAAATAGCAAACAGTCGCCAGTAAGATGAATGATATAATCTTTTAGTAAAAGGACCTGCCAGCAGATGAGTATATATTGCCAAACTAAAACCCAAATCCTAAAAGAGGCTAAAACCAGAAAACTGAATTGAAAGTCATAATAGAAGCCATGAGCTGAACTCAGTGCTTGATAATTTAACCAAGGAATCAGGTGAAGATGTATTATTAGATGACAACAGAAGCAAAATTCTGATTAGAAGAGGAAAAGAGAGGGAGAACCATAAATTACCAGATCGCGGAAGCAAGTTAGTCCAACTTCATTAAGCCCTGGCAGAGATCTCCGGGCAATGAAATAGCGGTCAAGATAATGGAAGAAACGTGATAACCATCTGACCATAACCTTATGGTTCGACCACCTTTTTACTAGCTCTCGCAACATGAACTCGTCATGTTTTTCTCTCAGAGAAGGCAATACCTGATCCAGAAGTAGCACTATTAAAATGATATTTAAGAATGTCAAGATATAATTAGTTGGAGAAACAAACAATTAGGTAAACAAACTTTAAGCCAAATTTGAGTTTTCCAAGATTTTAACCTCTTAAGTGAAATTGCATGCCTAAATTAACAAACAAAGAAATCCATGGAAGTTAGCTGTATTTTGTAACATTTCTCCACTTGCCCCTTCGGCCTTCCCCTTTTCCTATTATATTCTAGGTGATGAAGAAGAAGCAAGAACAGCTTTCTAAATTTAAATCTAATACAATGTAACTCCTCTTTTAAAAATCAAATTTAGCAATAGTGTGAATGAAAATTAAAAATACTACGCTTGTCGAAAAAGCAGCTTCTGAATTAAATTCAGATCCTAAACAAACCTGTTAATGCTATAGAGGTCCCAGTATTAAATGTTTTGACACATGTAATCATAGAGTGCACCAAGAACATTACCCGCACTAAGCCCTCTCAGCTTACATGTTCAAAATCCAAACATAAAGATGCAACAAAAAGGTTCGCCAGACTCAGTTGTATGATAATGGGAAAAACATCATTTTATAAGAGTCAACCAACATACAAAGAGAGCAAACATCCCGGAATGATACATAGATAGAAAACATCCCAGAAAAAATAAAAATAATGCTTATTCAGCTCCTTTTTCCTCCTTTCTTATACCTCATTAATGCTAATAAAGTGAAATGTGAGTGAAAACCACAGCTACCCTTACCGTTGCTGTGATATATTCTTCAAAAGATTCACGATATTTGTCATATAGCTGTTGAGAGTAATCATGTGGAGGCTTCTGAGTACACATATTGTAAATTGTCCTGTTAGTAGAATTAAGGAGACAAAAGGTGAACCAAATCCAAGTTATCTACAACATCAAACCCCAAACAGTGTGGGTAAAAGGATACGTGTACAGCATCATATAGTCCTCTGAGCTAAATTGTGGCTCTGGCAGCCCTTCTAGAATGTTTTTCAGCTTTGTAATGCCCCTTTGCATGAATTGCCATCCCTGGTCTAAATCGATTGTGGTACGCTGATTCATTGTAATTTCAATATCTTCACAATTCAACAGAATGCAACCCTTCACAAATTTCAAACACCTGTGGAGTTTCCAGACTAAATCATATCATCAACTAAACTCAACAAAAGCTAATAAGAAAATCAAGCAATCTTTAAGCCAGTAAGAAAATCAGATCAGATTAATATTTGGCTTTATTGTTGAGAAGAAAGGAATGTTTGACAACACTGGTGCTCTTATGAAATCCTCAAAATCTGATGTTGGCAGGCTACAAACATGGCTTCATTGATGAAATATGGAGCAGAATATTTGGGTTTCAAGGCATCAAAGTTGCAACGGGTACCATATATAGTATAAGGGCCTGTTAAGAATGATGCATGCTTGAAGCGCACAAGTACCTTGAGGCATTTCTGGGTCGCAAGAAAGAGGGAGTAGTAGAATATGACTAAAAATCAACAAAAACAACAACAAACCCAGTAAAATCCTACAAGAGGGGTCTGGGGAGGCTAGCGTGTACGCATACCTTACCTCTGCTATGAAGGTAGAGCAGACGTTTCCGATAGACCCCGTTCAAGGAATTATGACTAAACATCAAGAACATAAAAACAGAATTACGTATTTGGAGGCTTAAAATTCAAGCAATACGGAGAAAGAAGAATATAAAGTAGTACCAAGAATAAAATCCAATAAAACTTAGTCATCACCAGTAGAACTGCATAAAAAGAACAAATCGAAGGTCAGTCACTGGAATACTCCGAATTACCCACAGTTATAAATGTCCATACTGGCAAATCTAGTGGGTTGTTTATTGCTTCAATATCATTTTGGTCTTTTGAAGATCATTTACCCCTCTGAACTAGATATTTAGTCATAGAGGAATAGGACTTTCAGTATGATGTATTATAGAGCACAAATGAAAAATATATGTGATTGAACAAGTCCAAAATTTAAAAAGTGCTGAAATAAGCCTAAAGTAAAAGTAGTAAAGAAACAGGGTATATTGTGAGCACCTAATTTTGAGGTGTGACAGATATCACCATATCACAGAGAGAGGCCTACAAGAGTATGATACGACCTACATGACCGGGAAAAAAAACCCTAAGACCTCATTCACTATCCATATTTACTTGCCGAAAATGTCTGAAATGATATTTCATAACTAAATAACCCACAAGTCATAGTTCTCTCTGTTTCTTTCTTTATTCAGCTATTCATGTGAGCTTGCTACTTGTTCATGCTTATTGCCCAGTGAAAAGGAATTCTACTCTAAGTTCCATTTACAAATCGATTCAGCAATTTTTTAGCAATGCTCTTAGCGCTCTTTGTCCAGAATCCGGAATTTTTCCCAGAAACTGCAGGTACCAACACAGTAATAGCATTTTGGTGGCATGAGACATGCCGGCTGGTACCATATGATATATCTGTAAAGCAGTAATTGAGTGACAGAAACACACAACATAATTACTTGATCCCTACCGATCCTGACATGGTTCCAGGAGACCCTGACTTGATAGGAATTCCATAACCAACTTGCTGACCAAGTTATTCCTAGGGCCATATAAACTAGAGCTACCGAAATTAAACATTTTGCCCCAACAAAACACGAGCTAACGCTATTCAACATTTTTCAGGGTTCCACCCAAGAAAGAAAAAATGTATACAACATTTTTTTCTCATAAAAGTATATAAATAAGAAGTTAAGTTCTATGCACTAATGGTGTTAAAATATTTACAGAATCAAGTCATTTATTAGATAATTATAGGTAAATCTCTAGATAAACATTAATTGATAATCTGGTAAAAATGGTAACTAACTTGCTATCACCAATTAAAATTCACTTATGGTGTATATAACTTAAATCCTATAAATCAGAAAAATAAATAGAACTGAGAAAATAAAAAAGTAAACACACATCTAAGACCACAGAAAAGTGTGTGAACACTAAAGTTTCACGCCGTTGATGAAATATTAAAACTCCGGGAATCAGTGCTTCGTATTGAATAGCTAGTTTACATGAATGCGGTGAATAATTGCAACAAATAATAACCAGGAAATGGAACTCAAACCCTACTAGTAATCAACACTAAACCTCCACTAAACCTAACCAACGAAAGTACAAAAACTCTTAATCTCAGAATCAATAATAGAATAAAAAAAACAACAATACTTAAAACCTTACAACAGAATAAAACTATTCCATCAATCACAGCTCTGAAGATCGCCGCAAATAAACCACAACATAACAACACAGTTTCAACAACTACTCGAAATAAAAAAGAGCAATAACAAAATCAATCAGAAGCTAAAGAAAAAGCAACAAAACTAACCGCCGCATCAACTATGCATCATACATATAATACATACATACACATGTGTCTATACATACATGTGAACATATACATGTACATCGAATCGGAGCTCATAATTTAACTGAAAAATATACCGAAGATGTCGCCGGAGAGAGAGAAGGAGTTCGCCGGAGAAGTGATCGGAGAGTCTAGAGCCGACGAGGGCACGCGATGGAAGTGAGAAAATGCATTGATGAGAGGAAGAGAATCGGGTAAGATGTGAATCTCTCTCTCTTCCCCCTTTTATGCATTTTTCCTGTTTCCTCCAAAAGTTCCCACATACTTCTGATTATTTTCATTTTTGCCGCGGTAATTTCTTCGGTTTTTCATTGCGGCTTAATTGCAATTTCAGCCCTTCCATTTCTGGTTTTGTGCATTTCTATCTCATGTACTTAAATCTAAATTTGTTTTGTGGCAATTTTATTATTTTTAGAATAGATAAGAGCACAATGACTACTCTCCAGCCGAGGGTCTATCAGAAATAGTTTTTCTACCCTCAAGTTAGGAGGAAGGTATGCGTATACATTACCCTCCCAGACTCGACTTGTGGAAACTCGATGGGTTTGTTGTTGTTTATAAAAGCACAATTGTTTACCCGTATAATGGTACAGATGAATTTGTAACGTGGTTTATAGACAAGTGAATCGATTTGACCCAAAAATACGAAATGAATAAGAATAGAAATAAGATTATGAAATAAGATTAAATGAAATGCAAGTGTGGCTAGGTGTTCAGCTTCTCCGATAGCAGCGGCAAGAATATAATTAAGAATGAAATAAAGAAAGCAGTTCTGTAGAATGAGAGTAGATTATAGTTTTTTCGTACAGAATGTTTTCTTCCTACAAATGATGCGAACTCCCCTATTTATAGCTTTATTTAGGGAGACAAGATCCTCAAATCAAGCTCCTATTGAATGAAAATAAAAGTGTCATTGATGACTACATAACGGTTGGCTATAAATGCAGATATTCTCTGTAATGGGAGCCAATTGAATGTTATCTGATGATAATATTTTGAATCTTTGTTATCAGTTACTCTGACTTCAGGATACATTCAGCACAGGTCGCATGCTTGCATCCGGTGCCAGCTGTTTACTGACTCACGCCCTACCTGTCTTTAGCCCCATATGTCACTTCGTCGTTTGCCCAACTATCACTGACCAACTTTACCCCATACAGATAGTCCCCCTACTTTCCAGTGACGCAACTCAGTGTTACCAAGAAGTAGATAAGAGTTTTTTTCTTGGAGAGAAAGTTCCTAAATGGCCTCTGACACTTGAAAGGATGCACATCTTCTCGTATTTAATGACCCGAACATGTGTTATTCCGTGATTCAACCAATATTTCTGCCAGCTTTTTAGGTAAGCATGACCACGATTTTTGTCATCTATAACTTTTATACTACTTCTTATTTTTACTCTTTACTTTTACAACTTCCTCTTCTTCTCCAACTTACCTTAGAACCCTACTTGCAAACTTCAACTTTCTCAATAAAATTTTCTTTCACAGATTTCTTACCGTCAACCTTCGAAAACTCTACTCTTCTCTTCGGTGAAGGCTCAAAAAAGAACAAAACAAATAAGAACGATGTTGAGTCGGAACCTCCTAGCGTAAACACTATCATACCTCTTCATCTTAGCATGAAATCTAACCTTCAAGAACAAAAAAAACCTGCAAACCAGGGTTCATGTATGATCATACATGAGATTCCGACTTTGGGCCCTTTCCAAACCAAGGTACATGTATGATTATACAGGGTTCATACATGTTTCTTCACCCCTAATGAGGTAGAAAGGGTCAACCTCTCCAAACTAGGGTTCATGCATGATTATACATACCCTTTCACTTGAGGAGTGGGTGAAGGAGTCGACTCAGTAATCTTAGAATTTTGCCACCGGTACCAAATCTGCTTGGCACAATTAGGCCCATACGTATGGCATACGATGGCTTGCCTCCGCTAATTGTGCTCTAAGACCGGGGAAAATCTAACTCTTGCACATGTGATGAACCTCTACTTCTCTAAGATCTTCCGCGGGGGTGTGCTAAAACTCAGCAAATGCAGTCATCATGCCCTTATCAACAACGCCGATGATAATAACGATCGTTGATGGATGGAATGGTTCGTTGTCATTGCTACCAGGGTCCATGGACATCCTCCCGACCATAACGCCTGCTATTCCTGAATCATGGAACCTTTTTCGTAAGTCTTCAAGTATCTCTTTTCTTTCCATGTTTTTTAAAATACCTTCCTTTGTTACTAACTTTATACTTTCCATATTCCAGCTACTCATTGGAAACTACCATGGGTTCAAGATCTGGCCCAATGTGTACAAAATTCTTTGGATATTACTACACTAGAATCCCAAAGGTGGAAAGAAATGGCTCCCAAATATGGATGAAAAGCCATAAACCATGGTAAACAAAGATTCTTACTTCCTTCAATCTTACCAAATAACATAGAAACAGTTTATTAATTGCCTTTTTTGTACCACACAGGATTTTTAAAGGGATCCGTTGTCTGTCCTGACATCGAGGCTCTTGATGACCCGATGAAAGCTTAACCGGAGGAGAGCTCGCGAATCTCCTTGCACTTCTGGTGAAGGTACCACCTCCCAGAGTCCCCAGCCCAAAAATAAGAAACCAAAGAGGAAGTGTACCTCCTCGACTGGGAGTCAAGAGAAGAGAGTGAAAAAAATACCAACCGGGCCGGCCACAATGGTCCTTGATGAAGAAGAAACCGATGATGAAACGGCTCCTCTTCAAAGAAAAAAAAGATCTTCATCATCTCAACTGGATGCTCATTCAGGAGAGCTTCAAACTCTACCACCAGAAGAAGTTCAAGAACTCTGGGGGGGGG